TGAAAATGAAAAAAAAATTTTAAGCTTTAGCTGAGAATAGAAAACAGAGTTTTCTGTCAGGTGTGAATTTTTTTTTTTTTCTTTGCATGTGTCTGAAAAGAAATCACTTTTCATTTCATTTGTCACTTTTGATTTTCACTGGCAGAAGAAAGTAAAGAGCAGAGACTGGGTGGAAAGGTTCAGGACCACACCTCAGAAGGATTTTTGTTGTTGTTTTGTTTTGTTTTTGTTTGTAGCATGCAGGAATTATTGAAGTAATCTCCAAATTACTTTCAGGTTTTCCAGCTTAAGAATTCAGTGACGCTGGGTTGTGTTAAGAGTATTCACAATCATACAGGTAGAGCTGCCTTTTTTTGTGGGAAAAGTCTTAGTTCTTTAAAGAGTAGCCAACAGTCCTAAATCTGGTTCATGGCAGCTTTCTCAAAGCAAGGATAGAAATGTCCTAGCGAGGCATGGCTTTCTCTTGCCCCCGGAGCCAGGACATAAACCTAGTGCAGGCACACCTCTTGATTATTAGAAAGTCATATGGCCATTTGGACGGGGGTTGAAGTTAACTTCATAAAAATAGCCGCTGTGCTTTGCTTTCTCTTAATCTCGTGGTGGCTGTGTGGTGGAGTGTCCCGGAGCAGTTCCAGGCGCGTCCTGGCCTGAGGCTCTGCTCTGACTCTGGAGCCCGAGTGAGGTGCAGTGAGAGTGGGGTGCCCGGCTGCACCTGCGGGGTGGGCGGTCTGCGCATGGAGGGGTGGAGGTGGGCTGGGCCCCACTCGGGTTCCGGGCTGTGCCCGAGGCTCAGGCCTTGACAAGGAGGCTTTGATTCTGTTTTCTGCAGAACCAGCCCAGCCACTTCCTGTGCTGGGCCATGCACAGTGCCTGGCCTCTCTGCCGCCGGCTGCGGGAGTCGCGAGCCAGCGCGCAGCGCGCAGCCCGCGGGACTATTTTCAGTCCCCTCACGAGGGCCTTCTCATTTCCTTGGCCAAAGTGAGCGAGTGGGTCTAGAGTTGGCCACTTGTCAACCAGTGACAACTTTGACTTTAACTTGGGCTTCCCCTCCCCCTCCCGAAGTCCCTAGCTCAGCAAATATTTGAACCTGCCCAAGTTAATCATGAAGCTGCGATCTTTATCTGCGGGAGACGTGCGAGCTCACCGCTTTCCCTCCCCGTACAGTAGCGCCGTCCGGGTGGCTTTCCTGCGGGAGCCGCGGGAGCGCAGCGGCAGCAGCAGTAGCCACCTCCGGACGGGCGCCGAGGACGCGGCCGGGACTGGGGCGGCGGGCGGGGCACGGGGCGGAGGGAGCTCGGGCGCCAGCCTCAGACGAGGACGCGCGGTGCCGGACCGGGGTCCTGAGCCCCCGCCCCTGCGCGCTCACTGTGCAGAGAGCGCTGCGCCCGCACGGCCCCGGCACTGGCGCGGGAGGGGATCTTGGGAGCAGCAGCTTTTTCGATTTTATTATTTTTTTTTTCCGTTGTCGGATACAGACATTTCAAAGGGAAACTGTTGAAATGCATAACCTGCAAAGTAAGTTGCCTTTTCTGCCTGTGGCTTGTGATCTGTGGACGGTTCCTGGTTATAGTTTGGTCTCGGGGTGGGTGTGTGCGCGTGCATGCGTGCGTGCCTGGAGTGTGTGTGCACACGCGCGCACGCCCTCTGAGTGCTGCCTGGAGAGGACAGATGGGAGATTAGGGAAGACACTCCCTCGTGTCCTCTGGGGGTCAGTGCCAGCGAAAATGGGGCTCGGGTGGAGGAAATAGAAAGTGTTGGACTGGAACTCGGTACAGGGGGGGCTCCCTCCGCTTCAGCCCGGCTGCTGCGTGGACCCGTGGCAGGACCAGCCTGCACCCTTTGCTGCCCGCTGCAGGGACAGCAGGCTGGCCGCAGTGCTCCGGGTTTGGGCCCCTTACACCAGGGATCAGGGTGAACATTTCTACCAAACTACAGTTTTGTGTTCTAAGTCTTATCAGAGGACATAACCTCCTTCCCCGCTACTTCTACCATTTTTTGGGTAGATTTGGGTTTAGTTTTACCTGAACCCTTAAGCAATATAAAAATGTGAGTGTGAGAAAGTGGGGTGGGTGGACGACAGCGTGAGCCTGCAGGCTCCAGTCGTGCAACAAGGGGGTAGAGGGGGTGCAGACAGTGGCTCCAGCTACATTCTGGTCTGCTTCATGATTCCAAAGTTGATAGGACGCCCAAGAGACTGAATGTCAGGGGCTTCTGTGTTCTTTCATTTGTCAGAGTGTGACATGCACGTGTACATAAGTCACGGTGCCCACTGTATTCTAGGTTTCTCCCCTACACACCTCATAATACTGCGAATGTCAAAAGCAGTTGTTCACAATAGGAATGTATATTGGTCTCCAGTAAAGGTGACAGAATTGTATGCAAGGTGACTTTGAAGAAACAAAATTAGTCCTTAGACTTGTAGCAAAATTGATTTTTTTTTTATTAAATACTGCTAGTAAGACATATTTGTCCCCAGAGGGAGGCAATTGAGCTAGAGGGAGAAAAGCAGGAAAAAAAAAAAAAAAGATTACATCACCTTCCTTTTCGAGCAGTATTAGCCAAGACCGGCTCATCAGTGAGATACTTTGCAGAGATCCCTATACTTCTACTCTGCCTTCTAGTATTTTCTTTTTGGAAGAAGTGACCCCTTTTGACCAGTATTTTTTTGGACTGGAACATTGAAATTCTTATTAACGTTGCCAGTTATGTTCGTTTCTACAAATAGTAGGCATCTTTATGCTCTGCAGATTTTCATTGTCAGTCTACAGAACTCATTTTTAACTTTGGCATATTTAGTTGAGGAAGAGATTTTTTTTGTCTGTGCATTTTAAAAAATTATCCTTTCTAATGTACATTTACAGCAGTGTTAAGTTCTCAGTGAATTATGCAGTACAGAAACATCCATAGTTCTTGATCCTTGTGCTTTGTAACATATATGAGAGCTATTTAAGGACTGTAAAATACAGCAGGATGATACCATTTTGATGCCTTTATAAGATTTTTCTACCAAGGAATGGCAGGGCTATCTATAAACCCAGATGCACAGGGGGAGGGAGCTGCTAGGAGCTGCAGCGTATCAGCTTTTGTCAACCTGCCAGCTGTGGAGCATACCATGCTGCAAGGAGTAATAAAGGAATTGCAAAACTCACTGCTGGAGGAGAAGAGTGAAATTAAACACCTTGGGAAGCGATGAGCCTGTGTTCCTTGCAGCTTGGTTATGCAGAGTGAGTCCCCGGCAAGGCTCGGGACCGTGTGAAGGCTGGCATAGAAGGAAGCTGATGAAACAGGAGTGGTCTGGTGACATTTTTCTGACTTGATTGGCTGGGGCGTGTGATGTAATAGGTTACAGTGCAGCCCCTTGTAGGTTTTAAAATGAATTCCAAGACACCATTACAAAGAAAGCCGGACTCTTTTCTTATAACTGAGCTCAGCCAAGGAAACTCTTGCACAAATGTACAACACTGTCTGGAATATGGAAGACCTGGATTTAGAATATGCCAAGACAGATATAAATTGTGGCACAGACTTGATGTTTTATATAGAAATGGATCCACCAGGTAATACTGCAATATTAATAGAGAGAGCTAGTTAATTTTGTGGCTTTTTAATTTTTTGAAAGCTGCCGTTACTGATCCTCTTTAGATTGCTATTTTTACTAATTTGTTCCATGGATTAAAAATTAGTTTGATTATAACTTGGAAATGAGAGACAGTCGGGAAGGAAGTAACAGCTCAGGTTGTGTGTGGTAAATGCCGATTCTTGAATGAGTATGAACTGAATTTCACTTTTTTCACCGGTGTCTTTTGTTAATCATGTGCAGCCCTCTGCTAGCTGGGTTATATCGTTGTGTGTTGTTGTTTTAATTGAAATGATGCCTCCTTTTGTGCCGCGTTTCTCTACTGACAGTGCCTGAGGACAGCATGGTATTTGCAATGATAACACTTTGTACTTTAGCAAGCCTAGGAAATGTAGCACTGATTGCCACTCAATCAGTTCTCTCAGACCCCAAACTCTTCAGAATCCGATGGGGGGGCTTCGCTTGCTCTCTCGCTTAGACTAAGATACTAGAATGTATAAAGAAGCAGACTTTCTGTTTTTCAGTCCTAGTCTTTGTAACGTATTCTGGATGGACACCTGAAGTCATTTTTTACAGAAGTTAAAACAGTAACAGTGCCTTAGAGTTGCAACTTCAAATCCAGCTAAAATTCCTAGATTTGTTTCCTGAATTTTCTGTTACTGTTAGCCCTCCCCCCCCCATTAAGAAATTCAGAAACACTGCAGTCTTTTATCTGTCACCAAGTCATTATGAAAACTGATTTGACATTGAGGAAAGGGACTAAGGTCTTTTAATCAGTCTTGGCATATAAAGCATAATGTATCCAGCAGAATATGAACATGAATAGTAAGGAGATTTGGGTCACCAATGAGTTTCTTAAAGTGGATTTTGGCAGAACAGTGCCTGAAATACTGAGATTAGGGAAACCCAGTTCTTCTTAAAGCAAACTGATCTACATGAGCTCTTCTGTTACTTCAACAGCATTTGTGGGGGCCAGAGACCAAGTTTGTGTTTTATAACTAAATAAGGAGAGAAAAATTAAAGCCAACTCATGTTATTTCTGCTGCTTATATGTTCGTAGCTTTTTGCTTTAAATGAATTTGGAGAAGCATGCAACTTTAATATAACTAGAATCTAGAAGCAGAAAATTCACATGGCCAGACCAGTTCATTTGTCTATAAGGTTGTGTCACTGTCACTCTTCAGTTTTGTTTCTTTTTGAGCTATACGCTGCCCTGGTCCTTTAAAAACAGAAAACTAAAACTATCTTCTGTGGTGCATGGCATTGTGAATTACTGGCATCTGTGTCGGTTATTTATTTATTTATTTATTTTTTTGCTCTGTTACAATGAAAATGCTATTTATTGAAAAATACTCAGTCTAGTTTTAAATGCTTGACTAGAGTTGGGATTGTGAGCAACTTTTTCTTTCTCCTTCATCTGCAGCACTGCCTCCTAAGCCTCCCAAACCCACCACGGTAGCCAACAACGGTATGAATAACAATATGTCTTTACAAGATGCCGAATGGTACTGGGGAGACATCTCGAGGTGAGGCCACAGGACTAAGTCCCATTTTTTGGATGTCATCCAACATAAGCATGGAACATAGTTGGTTCTCTTCCAAAGATGACCAGAAAAATCACTGAGTGCTAGGGCACTAGGGGTGCTGGATGCCACAGAAAATTAAATAGCCAGGAAGTTTCTTTATTGACAAAGATCTCAAGAGGGCACCAGGGTGACACCCCACTCCCTAAAGGCAGAGTGTAAAGGCTTGCTCACAATTAAGCAGAACTTTAAGAATTAATGTCATTGTCTTAAATGTAGGAACATTGAATGGAATTTTTTTAAGCTTTTTTTTTGGGGGGGGTGTCAAGAGGGACTAGGGGAGACCATCTGGGGCTCATGACTTTTTCTGCTGATTGGTTACGGAAATAAGTGGAAACTTTGTGCTGCAGACAAACCAGTAGTCAAAGGAGGTACCATATGTCTTAGCTCTCGTGCACCTGTTTTTAACGGGACTAGAATTGATAACATTTCTAGACAACAAAGAAAAAATCAGTAAGTTCTGCAAATGTAATACCTCCCTGCCAATCTAAAAGGGCTGGAGGTGGGTATGCGGGGACTTGGTGCACTTGCCCAATTTTGCTGTGAAATTAAATCTGCAGTAAAAGTCAAGTCCAGTAGAACTGGGTTATAGCTCAGGAGTAGAGTGGAGCAGAGTAGAGTGGAGTGGTAGTCCTCACATGTACGAGGACCTGACTTCACTCCCCAGCACCACAAAAAGAATTAGAAAGCCTGTTTAAAAAAAAATGTTTACTTATGGTCACTAAGTTCTCCAGGTGATAAGCACTTTTTTTGCTTTCTGTTCATTTCAGGGAAGAAGTGAATGAGAAACTTCGAGATACAGCAGATGGAACCTTTTTGGTACGAGATGCATCTACTAAAATGCACGGTGATTACACGCTCACACTAAGGTGAGTTAGAGAGGGGCTGCAGCTGAGATTGGGGTACGGGGGTGAATATAAAAGCATACTTCCTTATTAGGAAATTCTAATGCTGTTATTTTTATATTGTATTTACTACAGGAAAGGAGGGAATAACAAATTAATCAAGATATTTCACCGAGATGGAAAATATGGCTTCTCTGACCCATTAACCTTCAACTCTGTGGTTGAGCTAATAAACCACTACCGGAATGAATCTCTAGCTCAGTACAACCCCAAGCTGGATGTGAAATTACTATATCCAGTATCAAAATACCAGCAGGTAATCAAAACGGAATTCCATGGATTATTTTAATGAGTGGAGAAGGCACTTTCAAATTTAGAAAGCATTTTATGATAGATGCATCAGGTTTGAAAAACTTTACTTTGGGCCAGTGAGATACCTCCTCAGCAGACTAAGCACCTGCTTAGGCAAGTGCAGGGACCGGGGTTCGATCCCTGGCATCACATGCCACGCCGCCTCCACCCCCGGGCACACTGACCTGGCCACAGAGACTGGGCGTGGTGGCACATGCCTGTAATCCCAGTGCTGGGGATGCTGAAAACAGGAGGATCACTATAAGTCCAAGCTGCATAGTGAGACCCCCTGCACCAAATACAGTAAAAAAAAAAAACAAAACTTTGCACTATGATAAAATTGGAATTTTAAAATTGCTAAATCAAATACTAAAAATAAAGGTTTTATTTTTCTTGTTCCTTTTTTAATGAGCAGTTTTCTTTAATTCTATTAACTGATTTGGCTTTTTCCTCTAATCTTTTCAGGATCAGGTTGTCAAAGAAGATAACATTGAAGCTGTAGGGAAAAAATTACATGAATATAACACTCAATTTCAAGAAAAAAGTCGAGAATATGATAGATTATATGAAGAGTATACCCGTACTTCCCAGGTGAGTGTTCTGCGAAGTTGAACTGAAATTGCAGAACTCTGAGTCGTTGGGCCCTAACACATGTTATATTCAGCTTCGAGGAGGGGAAAAAGGCTGAGATTTGCAAGTGAAGTGGGAGGAGATCAGTTATTTGTGAGTCACTGTTGACTATTCTAACATTAAATCTCTAAACCTAATGAAGCCTGTCGTTAGCAGAATAATCAGTTCACTTGATAGCGGAATAATCAATTCACTTGATAACTGAAGGGATCCCTGTTTTAAGTTCCCTTAACAAACGTCCTGATGGAAGAATTCCGTTTAGGCTGGAAATCTCACAGACTTGTCTGGTCTCTGAAGTGAAGATTTCACTTTCAGATGCCCTGCTGTGAAAGGAAATGCTGCCTTTCCTGCAGTGTTTTTCTAGAGACTTCTGCCTCTCTGGGAGGGACAGCCCGGGGGAGAAAGCCACGTGGGCACGGTAAACTGAAATGACTCTTAGAAAAAAAAAAAAAAAAAGAAAGCAAGCTGAATCATTCTCCATCGATTGAGAAAATTCCCCATGTGTTTCCGTGATACTGTTTTAATGGGTTTCGTGAATTCTCACCCCAGTAACAGTACCTTGGAACTTCTGTGTGGTAGATCATCCATCCATCTGGACGTGTACAGGCTTTTCTCTTGTCTTACCCCCTAAAGGATAGCACCTACAGAATAAGTAATCGAGAGATGATTTAGAGTACACAAGAGGAAGTCCATGGGTTCGATGTGAATCCCACGTCACTTCACACAAGGCCTTGAGCGGCCATGGATCTTGATATTGGAGGAGGATTGTGGATGGCGTCCTGTGATACCCTGGGCTGACTGTACTTATAGGCTACTTGATACGAATCAAATTGTTTTACAAAAGGTATAATATTATCTTGTGAAACTTCTGTTGCAGGAAATTCAAATGAAAAGAACAGCTATTGAAGCATTTAATGAAACTATAAAAATATTTGAAGAACAGTGTCAAACCCAGGAGCGGTACAGCAAAGAATACATAGAAAAGTTTAAGCGTGAAGGCAATGAGAAAGAAATACAGAGGTGAGTGAACCACAGACATTTTTGTTGTCCTTGTGCTAGAAATAACCACAGGCTTTTAAAACTACTTAAACTAATGACCTCACTTTCTGTGCTTTGCATAGTTTAAAAAAGACAAGAACATATTCTTTACCTAAGGATGCGTACCTTGCTGTGATTGGACAGTGAAACTTTTTGTAAACTTTTGGGCATCTGCGTGCTGTGCCCAGGTAATTCCAGATCCATTTCTCCCCCTTACAGGATTATGCATAATTATGATAAGTTAAAGTCACGGATAAGTGAGATTATTGACAGTAGAAGAAGATTAGAGGAAGACTTGAAAAAGCAGGCGGCTGAGTATCGAGAGATCGACAAACGCATGAACAGCATCAAACCAGACCTTATTCAGCTAAGGAAGACGAGAGACCAGTACTTGATGTGAGTGTGGGGAGCAGAGCCCTGTGGGCGAGTGACAGGCCGGTGCCGAGAGAGGGCCGAACTCTGACTGCCTCTGCTTTGTCAATCTGTCCTACAGGTGGTTGACTCAAAAAGGTGTTCGGCAAAAGAAGCTGAACGAGTGGCTGGGCAGCGAGAACACTGAAGAGTAAGTGGCCGTGGAAGACGGGGCGCGAAAGGCTTTTCTTGTTTGAGCTGACTTTATTTTTATTAACCAGTGAGGGCATTCACTGACCTTAGAGCATCTCCTGGGAGAAAAATGTATGAGCTGAATGTCATCACCTAGAATTTTAAAAATGGGAAGTGTAGCTAAGGGGAACTTGAATTTAATTTCAACTATAATTATATAAAATAACCCTATAGGGCCCTATAAGAATGTCCCTGAATGTCTGGGGGTAAAAAAAAATCCCAAAATATTTTTGGAGTGATCAGAGAAGAAAATAATTATGTTTAGCATATTCTGAAGGTTAGGTATATGTTTGGTTTGAGTTATTTGAAAACCAGCATTCTTCCTAGCCAATTAATTTCTTGATCTTAACTGGGTAAACAGGATTATTTCATACGTTCCCCTCCACCCAGGTATCTCAGTGAGATTGCTGACCTGAAAACAGAAATGGTAAACGTTATTGCTAACAGTTTGTCCTGGGTCAGGGATTGTTTTTGTGTTGGAGGATAAACAGATTGAGAGCAGTACTCAGGGTAGAGAGGTGGGGCCATGTCAGTCACATGGCGATGGGGTTTGGGCCGAGTGGGACTGAACCACAGAAGTGACAGGAGGGCTCTTCCAGGGGAGGATCTGGGGCAAGGTGGGATTCCTGCACTCTTCACTCCAACTTGCTCTCCTGCCTGCTCAGCCAATACTCACTGGTGGAAGATGATGAGGATTTGCCCCACCACGACGAGAAGACGTGGAATGTCGGCAGCAGTAACCGCAACAAAGCTGAAAACCTCCTGCGAGGGAAACGTGACGGCACGTTCCTTGTCCGGGAGAGCAGCAAGCAAGGTTGCTACGCCTGCTCTGTGGTGTACGTATCTCGGGTGGGCTGCGTTGCCAGTGTGTCATGCATGGATTTAGTAAAAGTCTAGCCTCGAAGAATCGTGTAGTACAGTAATAAAAGAGGAAAAAAATAGATATAAAATCAGTTTAGAACCTAGCCTGAAGTATCTGGGAATAAGATCTAATAGCAGGGAACCTACCAGTTAGCAGAAGATTGGGGCTTGGGTTCCAGTTTGGTGGGAATTAGTCATGAGACATCAGTAAGTCTCTTTATCTTTCCAGTGGAACCAGCAGTGCCTGCGGCCCCCGCTGCTCACTCTCTCTCCTAGCTGTTGTAGGCAGAACCTGAGGCAGTTCACTTGAGAATGGCACCTATACAGAAAATCTGCTTTAGAAAAGGGATGCATACTTACTTCTTAATAGTCTTGGGAGTGCTTTAGAAAGTGAACATTGGGTCACTGGCATTACTGTATTAGAGAAGTAAAAGTTCTTCTAGCAGAGAAATACTCTCCAAGTGCTTTATACTCCGTGACCAACGCCTATTTAAGAAATCCTCCTTCAGGAAAGGAGTAAGACATGTAAGTAGGACAAGGGAATAGAACACAAAGAAAATGCAGGTGGAGAACCTTACAGACTTTTCAAGGTGAGGCTGAAAGAATCCTATTAATGATTAGCAGTGGAGCAGTAATGCCTCTGGTCTTACAGTGACACCTTGCTTGGAAGCTGTCATTTGTCACATGCCTGTCCTGGCAGGTACCTGCCATCCATTATCTCATTTCACTGCTCAGAGGAAATGACACGTCTATTACAGGCATGTTACTCGTGTCCTCTTCTTTACATCAGTTTAAAGAATGAAAGCACAACCGCGTGGTGAAGCTGGCCTAAGAGCTTGTCTCTCTACTTAAGTCCTTCAGCCAATAAATACATGACAAAGCCCCGAGGGAAGTGACAGCCACCTAGGTTGTCAGGGGCTGTGTGCAGAGTGTGGTCTTACAGGACCATTGCTTCATTAAAGTACTCTGTGAAGTTGCAAGTTCTGGACAAACTTCTACTCACACAGCTCTTGTTTTGTGTCTTCCGCAGGGTGGACGGCGAGGTCAAGCATTGTGTCATCAACAAAACGGCCACTGGCTATGGCTTTGCGGAGCCCTATAACCTGTACAGCTCCTTGAAGGAACTGGTGCTACATTACCAACACACCTCTCTCGTGCAGCACAACGACTCCCTCAACGTCACGCTAGCATACCCGGTATATGCACAGCAGAGGCGATGAGCGCTGCCCTCCGATCCTGTTCCTGACCTTCAGCCACCCAAGGCCTCTGGGAAGCAAAGGGCTCCTCTTCAGCCTGACCTGTGAATTGAGCTGCAGACACAAAGCCTTCATCTTTCTGCAGATGGGACTAGAGCTTTCTTGGACAAAAAGAAGTAGGGAGAAGGCACACACAGCCCAGGGCTGCAGGACGGTCAGTTGTCTCTAACCTGGACTGCTTATCTTTTTTTTTTTTTTTTTTAATTTTGGTTTAATTTAAAGCCACAATACAACACAAAGAGGAAAAGAAATGCAACAATCTCTGCCTACAGGGACAAAGAGGCCTTTAACCATGGTGCTTGTTAATGCTTTCTGAAGCTTTACCAGCTCAAAGTTGGGACTTTGGAAACCGGGAGATGAGGCTGCAGAGCCCGAGCCTGAGGGTGCCGGGTCCAGCCTGGGGGAGCCAGGTGTTGCTGTGCACAGTGAGCCCAGACGCGTCGCACTGTGGATTATTTCATTGTCTAAGCGAACGATATGTAGCAGAAAGGCACTTCCACTCACGGGGGACACTTCGGGAGGACGTCAATTCACATACGTTCAGAGGAAAATCTATTGTAGCAAAGTGCCAGAAAGTGTTTAAACTTGTCAGAAAACAACACACCAACGGAAAAACAGAGCTCGGAAAACAGGACTTAAAGTGACATTCAGTATATAAAATATGTACATAAGATTGAATGACTAACTATCAAATAGGTGGATTTGTATCAATACCAAATAGCTTCTGTTTTGTTTTGCTGAAGGCTAAACGCACAGCGCTATGCAATTCTTAATTTTCATTAAGTTGTTATCACTTTAAAATGTATTTTCAGAATAAGCTCCCCCCACCCCGATTTTTGTTGCTTGAAAATATTGTTGTCCCTGATTTTTGTTAATATTTGTTTTGTTACTTTTTTTTTTAAAAAAAAGAAATGTACAGAATGCCAGTAAAAAAGGCTTCAGAATTAAAACTATGAAATATTTTACAGTTTTTCTTGTACAGAATACTTGGCTGTTAGCCCAAGGTTAAAAGGTTCATAACAGATTTTTTTTTTTTTTTTTTTTTTTTTTTTTTTTGGACTAAATGTTTTGTTGGGCAGTGCCTGATAAGCTTCAAAGCTGCTTTATTCAATAAAAAAATAGAAAGATGTATGACTATGACAAAGTATCGCTGAGTCCAACAATGTTGTTTTAAGACTCTGAAAATACGGTACCTGGCAATGTTGTTTTCTATTGAATTGTGAACTTCTTGAATCTGGGGAGCAGAAATGTCGTCCCAGGTGGGGGGAGGGGGCGGGGAGGGGTACGCACTTTCTCCTGAAGGCAGAGAAGTGAATGACTGCAAAGTGAAGTTGCTTATATTTCAGTCTTTTCCCACTTTGACTCTCTAGTTGGTGTCAGTTAGTGACAGTTACAAACCTACTGTAATTCTCAACCCAGTGCAGCTGGCCTGGTTTCTTATTCCTATGAAGGAAGAGCTGAGCGTCTGCCTTTGGCTTCCGGGGACAGCGTTCCCTCCCTTTGTTTAGCACACTGTTTTCAAGGTAAACTCTCTGCATGTAGGACACGTGTTGTTTCTCTAACATGGAACTAGTCATGACAACCAACTAACATTCATTTGAGGACAAAAAAAAAAAAAAAAAAACATTAGGCGCTTTTTTTCTTGAAAAGAGGTCTAAAGCACCTACTTAGAACAAGCTAAGCTAAGCAAAGCACAGGAATAAGCGCTTCCCTGGCAAGCGCAAGGGCCTGAGTTCAATCCCTTTGAGAAAAAAAAAAAAAAAAAAACAAACGAAGGTCTGAAGAAGAATTATTTTTAGCTGAGTATTCATTCTTTTCCTAGCTTTCCATTCAATTTAGAACACATAGCAAGGAGATACAGTGCACGGCCACTGCTGTGGGCTGTGTGGAGCTAGTTCAGGTCATGGCCGAGGGAGGACTCCAAAGGGAAGAGCCTTCTCGCTCACCCAAAGTACTTGTGTGTTCCGCTTCACTCTGGGGAAAGGCAAGAGGTAGAGGGGCGAGTTCTTCCTCCTACGTTCAGATGTGCAGAAGCTGCCCTGTTGGAGGAGGTCGCAGAAACCGCTCGTGTGTTAGGAGCGGGGAAGGCTGCTGTGATCGTGGTCACTGCCCTGGCAGATGGCCGTGGGACCTCCTCGTTTTCCTATCCCTTTCTTTTTTCTTTCCTTTCTTTTTTTTTTTTTTTTTTTTGTTTTGGTACCAGGGATTGAACTCAGGACCTTGCACTTGCCAGGCAGGCGCTTAGGCCACTGAGCTATCTCCCCAGCCCCTTGTGTCCCTTTCTCCATATTAATTTCACTTTCTCTTCCCTTCAAACACCCAGTGAAGATAACTTGTTTTGTCTTTTAAGTTTTCTTCCCTTTAAAACTCCTGAAAAGAAGCAGCCTGAACAGTTGAGTTTTACGGTCTGCAGAATGTATTATTTGTCTTTACATAAAGACAGTTTTCGGCCGGACTGTAAGCTCTCAAACTTGACTTCTGACCTGACCATCCCCCTCTCATCTCCAGACAGGTGATGTCTTTTCTGATTTTAGTCTGTGTCTATGCTTTAAAACTGGTGGTGAGATCTTGCCACAGTGCATAGAAGTCTTTAACAGTTCAGCATAGTTTATAAACTAGGTTTGTGTGCTTGTTTTGGGGGGGCAGGGGTTGTTTTTGGTAGCACATCATATATGCTACACAATACAATTTTCATTTAATTTCAAAGCTAGATCTGCGATGGAATGTCTTACTGAAAAACTACAATTTTGTTACAGTTTTTGCTTCAACACTCTTGTAGATGACATGCTAAGAGGCGGTCACCTTGCTTTGGCATCTCACAAGCGTAAGTGCAATAGATTTTTTCATAGAACAAAAGGAAGAATTTATTCCGTTCAGCAGCTACATCATACCTGTGCTGCCGAGTGCACCCTCGGTGACCGGGTAGCATGCCTGCCACTATTGCCCTTCTAGCTCTTTGGCCATCAGGGCTCTGTGGGTTCCATCAGTCATTGTGTAACTTTGTCTGCAAGGCTTGTGACTGAGTGGATGCAGCAGAGGCCCTCCCCAGACACGCTTTATCCATGCGTCAGTTTCTCCCACCCAGTGTAGCACCCTCAAGACAAAGCCAGAAGCCAGCTGCAGAGAGGCTGTGACAGGGCTGTAGGAGGGAAGTGTCGGGACCTCCTGTCCTGAACCAGAGTGATCGTAATTGCGTAAAAAGACAAAAACAATGTGTTTGCAACATGACGATGTCACCGCCCTAGATATATGTATATATGTATATGTGCATGGACTATGTTTCCTGTATACCTGGCAGCCAAAACTGATTCGCAGTCAGTGAGTTCAAGTACATAACAGGCAAATGTCTAATACAGTTACTGTGTACGTGTATGGGTTGCTTTTTCCTTTGAGGTCGCTTTGTTTTGTCTTAGTAAGGTGCAGATTGTTTGCAAGTGAAGTGAAGAGTTCATCATTCTTGGACTTTATTTCTCTTTTTAGAAACTACTCCTTTTAGGGAGCAGGTCTGGATGGCTCCTTATCCTGGAAACCTTTGTTTCTTAGTGTGTCAAGTCAAAATGTGTGTGAGCTGTCACCGTGGGGACCCCATTGTTTTGTCATATAGCTGGTTATTAACTAGTAATGTGTTGGAAAGTCCTACTGATGTTCCTTACTGGGAGAAAAAAATTCTGGTTTAACAACTGTGCTTTCGCTGTGCGTGGTGTCCAATTTGTTTGGAAAGCAGACCTTGCTGTCTTTGAGTTTAGGGTCCATTTAGGGAAGGGGCAGTTTAAAGTACAGTGCCTCACATGGGACAAAGTTCCAAAATGCCAAATTCTTATTTTTCAAAACCCAAGTTATATAAGATCCTAGAAGGGTGGGCGGGGAGGGAATGGAATTGGATAATGGGAAAGACCATCCACCTGAACATTCAACTTGTCACCGTGAGGTAGCAGGAGCTGCCCAGGATGCTGCTATTTACAAAAGAGAATAAAAAAGCAAAACAAAAAGAAAAAAAAAATCTCATTTATACGTGTGTATTTTTTAAAGCTATGATCTGTTCGATGTTTTTACAAATCTGTTTATATGACATTGTTAAAATAAAAGTTGGTCTTTTGACGAGAGGGAGGATGTCGTGGTCAGGTGTAATTTTGCCTTTACAAGGTAACGGGTGGGGGCGGGGGGGTTGCCGCCTTGATGTTCTGTTCAAGTTCTAGATCAATGGAGCTATGTCTTGTTTTCAATTGCTTTAATGCATTGTATTAGGTCTTCATACAGAATAAAGGTTGTTTTGAAACTTAAGTTTGGGTTTGCAGTTTCATTACCACCTAAGAACTCTGTCTATAGGGCTGGGGAGATAGCTCAGTAGAGTAAGCACTTGCTTGGCAAGCACAGGGTCCTGAGTTCAATCCCCGGTCCTGCAAAAAAGAAAAAAAAACTCTGTCTAAGCAGCTCACTCACTTGGTTCCTAAGCGTTTCTGTCCGTGCCCACCTACCTGCATTCATTCCACTATCACGCCACATTTTCATAACATGATGAAAAAGTGGGTCCCACAAATGTGCTCTTTGTTACTTGTACCCCACATCAAGGCATGCTTTTGCTATAGAGAAGGCAAGATGGCATTGTCCCTTGAGCCTTCCCTCTCCGCCACTCATCCCCAAAAGTTGAGTTGACAATCATAACAACCATGGTTTGTATCATATACAATCTTCATTTTTTTTTTTTTCATTTTATGCATTTTGTGCAGTGTCTCACTATGCAGTTTGGACTCGTAGTGATCCTCCTGTTTTCAGCCTCTCTGGCCCTGGGATTATAGGCATGCACCACCATGCTCAGACGGGGTTGCTGGCTCAGCATGCCCAGCGGGGCATGTGGGATCTGGGATTGAATCCTGGTCCCTGCATTTGCCAAAGCAGGCACTTAGTCCATGAGCTATCTCTCTGGCCACAATCTTCATATTTTGAGCACAGTGCAAGGACAGTGTGCAGTGGTGTGACGTAGGGCTGTACATGAAGCTAAGCTACACCTCCAATGCAAATTACACACTGTTATCTAATCGAGAAACAACTCTTACTATGAAATAACTCTGCCATTGATTGTTAAGGTCCAGTGAATGTCTAGCATGCCGACCTGTATGTTTATATAGCCCCTCCCCCTTCCACTTAGGCAAAAGTAGGGCCCTACACGGGAAGTACATGGTTTCAGAATAGAAATTGTATTCACTGCCATGGTAACAGTGACTAGAATTCCTTGCACACCACTGTAGTGCTGAAATTCATTTCCTGCCTTTCCCTGCTCCGTGTGGAGTCAGAGATCAACACTCCCCAGATCTTTATCCTGGTTGGCTTCTAGGTTCCTCCACGGCTGCACCAACTGCCACACCCTTCCAGGTGAGCACCCCCGACACACACGCTGGAGCCTCCAGCTAGGGCCTGGGCAGTGCTGCTCTGCCTGTCCTTGCCCCAAGGGGTGACTGCAGATCCATGCTGTGGCTTGAGCCTCTTGTTTGCCTCTGCACCCTCTTTTGGTTCCTAATCCCTTTCATCACCTGAGTCATTAATTCTTGTTTAATTCTCTCTGGATGAGTCCTGCACCCCTTTATGATGGGGTTATATCCTGAGGTGTGTCATTAGCTGATTTTGTTGTGTTAATGTGTCGGAGTGTATTTACACAAACCTAGATAACATGGACCACCACATACAAGCTACAGGCTGTGTGTGTGTGTGTGTGTGTGTGTGCACGTGTGGTGTAGCCCACTGCCCACAGGCATATGATGAACAAAAGAACATGAGATGAAATCCAGCACACCCAGGAATACATAGGGTGTATTGAGCTGCTGCAGCAGTAACATGACTTACTATCTTACAGTCAATTTTTTAATATGTAGAAATACACTCTTAAGATAACCATAGAAAGCATAGTACTGTAAACCAGTAAGTTATCATCAGTATCAAGTATGATCAGTATCAAGCATACCTAATTGAGTGTGCTATATTTTTATACAACTGGCAGCGCAGTGGCTGTGTTCACACCAGCAGTATCAGAATCCTGTGGGTACTGTATAGGGTTCAATATCACTAGAAAGGTTTTTCAGCTCCATCGTGATGTTATGGGACCACTCTTGGTCCTTAGTGGGAATGCCATTATGGGACACAGGCTGGTAATTGCCTTTTCTGACTGCCCTCTGATTGATACACCAGGTAATGTACTTAGGACACTGTTCAGGTGCTCTATCCATTTTCATCCTCCCACGATTATGAGAGTTACCAGATAGGATCCCCCATTCCAAAGATGAGAAGATATGATGCCTTCCTGGGGCTCACACAGTGTCGCAGAGCACAGAGAGGCAGAACTCCTTGCCCTGTGCTAGGATAGAAAGAGTTCCAATAAGAAATGCACAAGGGAGTTCAAAGAACTCACCTGACCAGCAGTGCACAGGTAGCTGGTGACAGATGGCAGGGGACAGTGTGGGCTTGCTGCAGACCAGCTCTCCCCAGATGCAGCCCCCAGACTAATCCCAACTGCTTCAGCATTGCTTGGTAATTGGAAATAGAAATCAGCAGACTCCATTCCTGACCACCACGGAGCAGGGTCAACAATCTGTGTCAACAGGCTGCCCAGGTAACGCTGATACTGCAGATTGA